ACTGCTGCCTAATCATCCACTACGTCGGTTATCCCCCCTCCTGCTCCCCGGCTCCCTCACCTTCGACCAGACTGCGGACACGGGGGAGGGGTTGCGGGATGACCACTCAACTTTTGCCTTGAGGCATCCACCGTCTGTTGAGTTCATGTGTCCGTGTGTGTGTGAGGGCTCGCACTTGTAGTTCTTTCTCCCCGCCCCCTCTCTCCGTCTGGGCATCGTTTTCAAGCCACCATGTGGAGCCTCCCCGCACACCTCCCCTTTGAAGCCCCACCGACCAGCATCTCTCCCTCCCTCTTCAGTTTTGAAAGCCTCCGGTCAAGTTGGCGCGACCGATGAATGGGTTCCAGCGGCTTCATTAGTGTCCGTTTCTCTCCTCCAAAACATCCGGAAGCCGCATTTTCCATGTGCGAACTCTCTCGCTCTCTCTTAAATTCACCATCTCGGGCCACTGGCTTCAGATTCCCTTTAAACAGAACAATGCTCATTTCTGTGACAGAATTTGCCGCCTAGTTGAACGACTATGGTGCTAACCGCCCTCCTCCCCCCTCCACCCCCGGGGATGGAGGTGGAAGTTATCTCATCATTGGCTCAGTTGTACTGTCTCCATAAACTGATGTCCTTGCCTCGTGTTTCATAAAAAGGAGATCGCTGGAAGAGTCACATGTCGCGAGTAAATCTGTGGTTGCTAGGAGGAACGGCAGGACAAGGTCAGGAAGGTTAGTTTGGGGCTGGGGTTTGGACACGGGAATAAGCATCCCTTGAAATTCAGCCCAAAACCATCTGTAATGCGGGGAAGCGTTTATTCCCGTGTTCAACCGAAGGAGCTTGTTAAAACCCGCTTATAGAAAGTCTGGTCGGTGTACTGTAGGAAAATGTTTGGTTACTAAGTGGAATTTGAATCTAATCTGTTTTTATTCAGTTGAAAACACAGTGGATGGGGCTGAAATAGTCATCCAGACTCCCGCAATAGGAGTCGTTTGGATAGCGTGAACAGAAGTAGCAAAATGCAGTCGATTCTCCGCTCCTGTCCAAATTTATTCTTCGTCTTCCTAGCCAGTGATCTTGTGAAACACTGGGCTGCTTAAGGCAATAAGCACCCACATATTTGTTCTTGTTTGGACTGCAGCATATCACGGGGCCGAAAACTGGCTCTCTTCCTGCCTCGTTCTTGTCAGTCGCAGTAAAGCCGAGTTACGGGTGGTCCGAAGAACCATTTTCGAGGGTAGGGGATAGCTACAAGTCAGCTCAACCCTCCAGCGCACTGTATTGTAACCGGCGGTCTTATCCACAATCGGGTCTGTGGAGACGAAGCTTTGAATAGTATACGGGCACAGAGCTCCACTCGTCCGTTGCGGCAGGAAAGATAACATGTAATAGGAGTTTAGTCGTCGCAAGCGGCGGCGTGCTCAGTGGGGTGGACACAGTAGCGGACGAACTTGCGCTGCGTCTAGCGCACTCTCTCCCCCCTCGACCAGCAAATTCCGACGGGCATGCGACGTCAAGACGACCAGAGGTGGGCTCGAGTGCAGTTGCTAATCTATCTACGCGGGCCACACACACGACAGTTCGACCGTCGATTTCGACGATGTCCACCGTGTGCCCCACAGCTACAGCTGCAACGGTGGGAGCAGGGACGGTGACTTGCGCAGGGGTTTATAGTGCCAGTAGACTTTCGTTGCATCTACCTACACTCTCTCCTCCTCCCCCGCCTGGGCCCGGTGTCAAGATAGAGTCAAAAAGACCGGAGACGAGGGAGGCCTCAGGTGGATGGCTCGGACGGATCCTCACCTTGGCGTTCCACCACACGCCCTGGTCCACACAACAAATAACCAGGATTTTGGCCAACGCAACAGAGTTTGGAGGCTGGCACGGCCGAAGCCGCACCTAGGCGTGCCACCAACGCCTGGCTCGGATCCCGCACTGTGGTGGGAGCGCCATAAAGGCCACATTAAAAAGGAGCCATTGCAGCCTGACTCTCGGACCGCCTCCAGTTAAGGAGGAGGTCCAAGGTACCCCGTCAGTTGGCAACCTTCCAAGCCACGGCTTTTAGCGCACCGTGATAGCTTCAAGCGCGTCAGATTGTTTATAGTGAGGAAAGTGCGCTGAGTCGTCGACCTCACTCTCCCTTCCCATCCCCACACCCCAGCCGCTGTCCGAGCCGGTCAGCAGACTGGAGTGGGGAATGGGCGCGGTGGCTGTCATGGTCGACTGACCACGACGGCGTGCGCCACGAGCACGACCTGGCCCTCCATACACACAAACACCAGGATTTCATACAACGGGGGTTGAACGGCGTGTCTCTCACTTGCGTGAGAGCGCCGTGGAAGGTGCTCCTTCAGCCCGTTCTCAGCCCACTAGTCCGCCACTCCACACAACACACACACACAGCGGGACGAACTGCGTGGACCGAGTGGGGGCGTCAATCAGCAACCCTCCTATCCACGACGCTTAATGCGTCGAGATAGTCTCGGAATCAAGTCACTCGTGCAACCGAAGTCGCATGGGGACCGAGTCGAGTTACACATTTCCCACTTGCGTGGGAGGTGGCAGTTTGGTGCTTGCGGAGGATGAGTGTTGGTGTGTGGTGGTGGTGGTGGTGGTGGTGGTGGTGGTGGTGGTGGTGGTGGTGGTGGTGGTGGTGGTGGTGGTGGTGGCGCGGACGGATGGAACGAGGGTGGGGGTGTGCACGGTGGATGTGTTGGATGTGGTGGGTGTGTCGGGAGTGCGGTCAAGGCCGCTCTCGTGGATGCGCGTGTGGTCGAATAGGCCCATGCGATGCCTGAAGGTGTGAGGGCAGTGTGGGCAGTGAAGGCGAGTGCGGTGAGTGTAGGTTGGTGCTTCACGAACTGGTTTGCCAGTCTCTGTGCGATGGATTCGCAAGTGACCGACCAGGCCGATGCGTGAGGTGGATGTACATGGACAGTGTGGGCATGAGAAGTCGGCGGTGTCATTGTCAGCTTACGTGCCACACACACACGCACACACACACGGCCTGACCCCCACAGGATCCTGTAAGGGCGGGTTGGATCTCACATGCATGAGGGCACCACAAGGGCCGTCGCTCGACTCTTTACCCTGCGACAACGCCCGCCTTCGATGAATCACGATTCGTCCTTGATCACACTGTCTTTACCTCCAAAAAAGTGGTCTAGAACCGAATCCTGGGAAAGCAAAGTACTACCTGACTGTCTGACGTCTCCTCTTCCCAGCCGCTGCTGGCGAGGAGATTCACGTGATCGATCCTTTTATAATAGGCTTCGGTTGGTGCCTTAGCACTACCTATGGGCCAATGTCAGCAGGATGTGAGTCTTATCTCATAAAAGCCACTCGGAACATCAGCCTGTAGAGGTGGTCTAGCTGAACAGCCAAGCCGCGAACGACTATGTTCACTGTGTGCGGTACAGAATGGGCATAGGAGGGTTGCTTGCGCGGGAAATGGTTTATAGCGGGGCGGGCTTTCGAAGCAACTATTGCACCCTCTCCTGCCTCACTCATCTGGTTCTGATGGAATGATGGTGTCAATATGACCAGAGGCGGGCTCGGGTGCTGTAAATGAGAAGGCCAAACAGTCTGTCTACGCGTGCCACACACACGCGGCCTGGTCCCCACCGCACTTATAAGGATTCCGTATGGGCGGGTTAGATCTCACATGTAGGTGGGTACCATAAGGGTCGCATTAGGAAGATCCCATTGCAGCCTGGGCTCAGTCCTGATAAGAACCCAGTTGTCTTGTCAGCTGGTACGCTTTTAGGTCCCGACCATCGGCGCATCGTGCTGAATTCAGAGGGCGTTAGAGTGATTACAGTGAGGAATGCGCTGAGACGTCGTGAGGATGAACGGTTCCCCAACGTCGACCTCACTCGCTCTTCACCCCCCCACGCAATAGTTGACTTTCCGAGCCTCTTTGCCAACTAAAATTTAATAAAATATTCACGTGATGGCCACGTTCAGCAATCTGCCTGAATTGTAAAACAGCCCATCTGACAGTCTCAGGGCAGGGAGAACCCGCGGAGGTGGTATGGTCGACAACACGAAGGTTCCCAAATCAGAAGTCGGGGAAGGCAGATTGGGTTGTACCTCCTTTTACTGTGGCTCTGCAAGCCGTCGCCACAGGCGGTCTCTTCAGGCAGGTTCCGTCACCGATCGTGTCAGTCGTCTTTACTGTTCGCCCGGCCACGAAGTGTGGGTGACTGCGACCAATCGATGAAGAGAGGGATATCGATCGGTGTCACGACGTCGCAAGCCGGAGATCGAGTCACGCGCGAGTACTCGCGACGGCGGCGCTGATTTTGTGAGTGTAAAGCCACCAACTCGCACACTGAAGATGTTACTTTGCTGGCAGTGCATTTATCGATCAGGGAGAGGGGGGGGCTCAGCAGTCGCAGAGCCACCAGTAATTATATGGGAATGAATATAGGCAACGATAAGGGAAACCGGGATGCCAACTTCTAACTTATTAACCGTCGTCAGCCAGCTGTATCCAACCCCAGATTTGCATGACCAGAAAGAAAAACCCGGATTCGTCAGTGATAGGACGTTTTCAAGTCCAGTACTGTATTTATTGAACAATGTGTCCGTTATCCTGTCGGTTGTTGTCGTGAATGTTAGTTGTCATGGGAGGTGGCGCTCATCGATCAGGTTGCGAGACCTGCACCGTCCCCCTGCATGTTTGATCTCAAGCACGAGCCTTTGTAGGAAGTCGCATAGCGACCAGAAGGGAGCTGATTAATACTGGCTAGTAGGCAAGAAACGGTCATCCTTCAACTCTGTCGGTAATCCTTCCTGAAAGCGTTACCACCAAAGGAAGGGAATAGATTAGTGGCTCATTTTTTCGATCGTCAGCCAACCATACTGAAACGCCGGACTATTCGGGGTCACAGAAAAGGGACCTTCATCGATCCGCGGTGCTTAAAGAACAGAGCAAAGACCTTTCCTCTTGCCTAGCCTTAGGCTCCTTACAACCCCCAAAGACGCTGACCATCTGCGATAGAAGCTATGCGACGCACACGGCCGGCCGATTGATTGGGTGTATCAGCAAGAAACGGACCCTATTTTCTACAGGGTTATTTTGCCAAGGTGGCCTCGTTTGTATTCAGATCAATGGCATCAAAGGCCAGGCCTGAGAACAGCGTGATGGATTCTGGACTGGTTACTTGGACAAGCATGTTTGAGAAGTCAGTGTAATGTATCGAAATTGGTGGATTCCATACGTTGCAGTCGACGGGGCGGGCAACCAGACCCAACATGGAGGAGTTGCGTTAACCCCTAACCATAGCCCCTAAGCCTAAACCCTAACCCCTAACCATAACCTTTAACCCTAACGCCTAATCATAATCCCTAAGCATAACATCTAATCCCCACCCTTAACCCCAACCCCAACGGTATTTTGGGGCTATCAAACCACATCTTACCTACTTTTCAAAGGCCGACGTCTCCATTCACCATCAAGCACTACTTTGGGTATTCTGAGGTTGTGTCTATGAAGCCTTATGTGATGGCCATCGGAATTCGCCACGTCGTAGTGCAGCTACGACTTGTGATTCCGTTACTTCCCCAGACCGGTATTCAGTCACATCTGAAGAAACTGATCACTGCATAATGCGCGATTGTAACGTCTCCCACATCGAATCAAAATGGGATCAGACTGGTCCCCCGGTGCGCGTTAGTCGGACTGCGCGGAGTCCCTCTCCGGCCTCCGGTTGGCTTGACTCTGTCTTGACATCGGGTCCAGGTGGTAGAGGAGGAGAGAGTGCGGTAGATGCTGTTCAAATAAATTGTCACTATAAACCAGTTCACGCGCAAGCCACCGTCCCTGGTTCATCATGGGCATCTTCGGAATCGACGGTCGAACTGTCGGTTTAAAGGGCAACCCAGAATTTAGATATGGCCAGAAATGTCCGTTTCAGCTCCCGGGGTTTTAATCAGTAAAACTCTCCGAGTAAAATCCTGTCCGACTTCTCCCTGACTCCTTGATCCAACTCTGTCTGTCTGTCTGTATTTGGTTAAAATCAATAGGGTCAACGCGGAACGAAATTCTGTCGCACCCTCCCCCTCCTCCCCCGACAAAAAAGCAGCAACTTGCCTTTTTAGTCTGTGTGCGTCCACGGACAGTGAAATGGCCTTTGGTAGGCGCCCGGCCACGGCGTCCCCCATGAAGTGGTGAAATTACGCCCAGTAACAACTCGGGTGCGGTCTTACAGTAGGTGTGTTAACTCATGAAATGTCAACCGAAATTCCGAAATGTGTTTTCGTTTCGAAGGGATTAATTAAGTAGGCTTGTAAAACTAGTCAGCCTGCAACACAATTCTATAATATTTCAGTTACGCCAGGATATCGGCTTTCGAATGAACTGCCTTCCGGCTAAAACGACACCCTGTAAAAAATGAGTACATACAGTAGATGTGCTAACTCATGAAATGTCAACCAAAATTTCGAAATGCGTTCTCGTTTCGAAAAGATAAATTAAGTAGTGTTGTAAAACTAATCATGATGCAGCATAAATCTATAATGATCCAGTTACCTCAGGGTGTCGGCTTTCGAAGGAACTTATTTTCGGCTGCATGTAAGATCTATACTCTGCAAAAAATGACCACATATGTAGTATGCAATTTTCTCACTCATTTTCGATGCCCCTAAAAGTCCAACTATATTTCATTGAAAACATGGACACGACTATTCATTCTTTTACTTATTCGGTATAATTTGAACCCGACCTGCTGTTACACTTGCATTCAGGGTTTCAAAACTACAAGCTGCATATTTTCCGTGTACGGAAAACCATGCATTTCTCTACGTGTTAAGAGGAGACCATATGAGGTTCGTAAAATTAAGCAGTGGACTTGAGTAATATTGTTAACTTTACAAGCCACATTCGTAAATGCAGATACATGACGTTTCATGAACGGCCATTTAACGGTATTAAAAAATCTCACAATTAGAAACTTTTTTAAGACCGAATTATAGTCTTCTTTTGAGTATGAAATTGGAAGAAGACGGGATTTTCTACCGAATAAGTAAAAGACCCGGGAACTGAAACGGACATTTCTGGCCATATCTAAATTCTGGGTTGCCCTTTAAACCGACAGTTCGACCGTCGATTCCGAAGATGCCCACTGTGTGCTACACACCATGATGAACCAGGGACGGTGGCTTGCGCGTGAACTGGTTTATAGTGACAATTTATTTGAACAGCATCTACCGCGCTCTCTCCTCCTCTACCACCTGGACCCGATGTCAAGACAAAGTCAAACCAACCGGAGGCGGGGGAGGGCGCAGGTGGATGGCATGGTCGAGCCCTCACCTTGACGCCCCACTCCACACAGCAAATGACCAGGATTTGATCAACAACACCAGGAGTATGGCAAGGGCCCCAGAGTGCGCGACGACTGCCGGCAACCGTGTCTGCCACCGTACCCCGAAATGTTCACATTTGTTATAGTGCGCAAATCTGATAACGCCTGCCAGAATCCGATCTAGCCCTCGTGTTGGTCCAGCGCATTTACCACGTGGCCCGTTCGGGGGAGGGCACGCCCTTCAAACCAGACACTTCCTCACGCCCTGTCAACTAGATCATCCCCATCATCGTGATTGTCGATAGAATGAATGTTCAAACACTACTTTCTTACGAGCTTCAATGGGATTTCGTCTTGACAAGCTCCTGTGTAGCCTTTCATTACGAAATTGGTACAGAGAAATTTACGCTTTGTCATTCAACCCCGTTATGGAATGTAAAATGAGGGTTGGGAAGGTCGCTTAAAAAACAGGCCCGGTCA